GTACCCCAAGAGCAAGAAGGGTATGTGGGGGGGGTCCCCTGCGGTTTCGGGGGGCTCTGAGTGTTCCAGGGGTTGCCACCTCCCGAGCCTGGGCTGCACTGACCCCCTGTGCCCCCCCAGGCAGCCGCAAGGACGAGGAGCTGGACCCCATGGACCCCAGCGCTTACTCAGACGCACCCCGGTACGGCAGGGGATAAAGCAGGGGGGGTTTTGGAGTGCCCCAGGTTTTGGGGGGCCCCAGTGACCCCTCCCACGGTGTCACGGCAGGGGGACGTGGTCCACGGGGCTCCCCAAACGCAACGAGGCCAAGACGGGCGCAGACACGACGGCAGCCGGGCCCCTGTTCCAGCAGCGGCCGTACCCCAGCCCCGGCGCCGTGCTCCGCGCCAACGCCGAGGCTTCGCGCGGCAAGGACTGAGACCCCCACAATCGGGGTCCCCCCGATCCTCCGGGACCCCCCCAAACTGGCACTGTCTGCTCCAGGAACCTCCAGAGCTCAGGGGAGCCTCTCAGCCCCGAGCCTGGGCGAGCCCCTCGAATCTCGCTGGGCTCCCTCAAACCCCAGGAACCCCCAAAGTTCAGGGGCTCCCCCGGGGCTCCCCAAGCCTGAGGGGATTCCCTCAAACCAGGGGGGACCTTTCAACTCTGCCCAACACCAAGGGGTCCCTCAAATCCCCTGGAACACCCCCAAAACCTCAGAGGATCCCCCCAAACCCCTCCCAGACTTCCAGGACCTCTCACATACCCCGAAGTCTCCCTGGGCTCCCTCCTTTTGTTGCAATAAAGGCGCCACAGCCCACAGAGAGTGGAACCAAGGGGGGCTTTACTGGGGGGTCCTGGGGGGCTGCGTCACGGGGGCGCCGTGCCTTGCACACCCACGAGGGCTCTTGCACAAGTTTCAGTCCAAGAGACGGAGCCGGCGCAGCTCCTGGCTCGGGGGTCCCTCCCCCTGGCTCGGGGGTCCTTGCACACTCAAGGGCGTCCCCACTCCAGGCTCCTGCAGCTCCGGCTTTTCCCCCTCATCCCCCCACGAGGTTCTCCGGGCCCCCCCCCGGCGCAGCTGACAGGCCTGG